TCACCTAGCCGACTACCCAATAAGCCAAGGCTTATCAGGTAGTCGAGTTGACCCCCTGTCCTCGCCCCCCCCCCCCTTTGCTGCCTCTGATACAGAGGCAGCAAGTGGGGGGGAATGCAAGTAGTCAACAAGATTAAGCCATCAGCCCAGGCTTATTGGTTAATCCTGTGGTCGTCTACACACTGACATCCCTATGGTATACCCTAAGCTCTCTAAGAAGATTCAGTTCCCTCCTGCTTTAGGCTCTGGAGATTGCCAGGTAGGAGAAGAGACTCTTGGGCTTGGCAATCCAGCACCTCCCAGGAAACAAATGAAAACTGTAGAATTTCAATGACTTTTGGAGCAGGTGCTGGTCCTTCATGTCCCATGGAGCTATTGCTGTGGAGCAGGAGAAGGGAGGGGTTTCACCTGTGGCTTGGTGGATAATACAGGTTGCATGGGGAAAGGCTGATAATTATGTGGCTTTCAAGAGATGAGTGAGTGAATGCAGGGTGAGAGAGAACAGCGAGGAAGGACACAGAGCAGCACGTCAGGTGGAGAGATGTACAGTAGGAGAAATCAGGGAGGAGGTGAAAAGGGAGATGGAGAAGGTGTCGGGTGCAGCAGCAAAGGAAGAACATGCGAGAGTTATAGAAGAAAAGAAGTGAGGAGCATAGAAGAAGGAAACAGGGACACAGATGGAACAATAGGAATGTGGGAAAGGGCCAAACAAGCCATCAGCGTTATTTTGGCCATGATTTTCAGAAGCGGGACTCTGCAATTATGCTCTTAGGTCCATATTTAGCCACCTAAGACTTCTAATTTTAAAAGGTGCTCAGCCCCCACTAACTTTAACAACAGTGGCTGGGTGTTCAGCTCATTCGAAAGCTGAGCAACTTCTTCAGGTGCATTAAGATAGACCTAAAAACATAACCTCAAGCTGCCACCACTGGAAACCCTGGCTTTTGCTCCATTCCTATTCTCTGTGGTGCTTGGAGTGACTCATGGCTCAGGTTTGGGGGGCATGCCCCCAAAGTCCATGATCGCCGCACTAGGAGGAGGAATGCGGCCGTCTATGGCAGGATAGCTGCCAGCCTGGCCACCAAAGGCCACATGTGAACCCAGAAGCAGGTTTGCATGAAAATCAAGTTGGTCTGGCAAGACCCCCAATCCTGAGCCCTGAGCTTCCCCGCCCCCCCCTCTTCCAGCTCCCTCCTCCCAGGTTTCCCCCTCCCCTTTCCCATTATCTCTCTTCCCGTCTCCCGCCTCCTTTCCCCAGTCTCACCAGAGTTTCATTCCCCCCTCCCACCCAGTTTTGTTCAATAAAGAGAGTTTGTGTTCATGAAAATACATATATTTTATTTGACATCAGGAAGGGGGGTTAGGGAGGGGTAAGTGAAAGGACGTGAGGAAGGAATGAGGCACAAGTCTCTGGTGGGGTAGACCAGGGAGGCTCTTAGTGCTCCTCAGGGTGGAAGCTCTCCCACAGGGCCTCCTGGATACTGACAGCCCCCCAACGGACCTCCTGGATGGCAGCCTGCAGAAAGTGCAGCCAGGCTCACAGCAACATGTTCAAGAGAAGCACCAGAGTGCCCAGGGGCAGCTTTGGCTCCCTGTTGCAGAATGCTGTAGTGCCTGAGTGAGGCAGAGACAAAAATGCTTTGCTGTCCCTCACTGAGGTAGGCAAGCAAGCAGGGAAAGCTGAGAACCGGCTGGCGGGGGGGGGTCCCTTTAAGCACAGACCTCAGATAGCCTCAGGCAGCAGCCCCACACGGTAAGTCCTGATCTGGTGCCCTACCGGAACTGGTTCCAGCCAGCCTTAAATGTGATTCAGAGTCCACTCAATGTGGACACGCTATTTCGAAATAGCAAAATGCTATTTCGTAATGCATTTTGTGTCTAGACGCTTTATTTCAAAATAACTATTTCGAAATAACACTGTAGTGTAGACATACCCATAGCTGGAGTTGCATACCTTAGTTCAACATTGTAGTATAGACCTGGCCATAGAATGACTTCAGGCCACCAAACAAGAGGTGTCTTGCAATCCAGCTGGCATGCAGATGTTTAAGAGCCTATGAGCTGAATCCAAACACCATGGAATCCGGCTTCATCATTGAAGTTCTCATTACTTCACCCTTTAGTGAGGATCATAGCTTGGAATGCACACAATTTGGGTACAATGTGATTGTTACATTTCCCTGCAAAGAGTCTATGCTGAAGCTCTTATTGCTGGGTCCCCCTTGGAGTAGGAGCAATTAAAACAAAAACTCCTGCCGTGACTGAGAACCAAACTAGACTGAGGGTTATTGGTTCCTCTGAGGGGTGTGTGTGTGTATGTTTTTGTTTGTTTTATTTTTAAGAACGAAATCTCTGTTACTGTAATTGACTATATGTCACTCTAGGCATAATGGAAGAGGTAGCATCTAATTTTAAGGAGAGTGTCTTAGTAAATAAGTCTGAAATAGCCTTCTCATAGAAATAATTGCTGCTTTTCATACACTCTTAAGACACTATGTATTAAATGGGAAAAGACTGCCAAATCCCATCTGTTATTTCTAACACTCTCCATGTTACATCTTGTTTCTATGGCAATAATCCCAAGGAAGATTACACACGTGTACAGATCAAGAAATAAATCTCATGGATAGGGGCTGTCTGAGCCAGGAATTAAAAAAAAAAAAAGTTAAAAAGCTATACATTTTATGACATTCTTGCATCAATGCAAAATATGGAATTCAGGGTTATAATTAATGCAAAGCAATACCTCACTGTCAGCACCATTTTTATTGTGCTGAAATGTATCTGAACAGAATAGTGCCTGAATCTTTGCATCGTTCTAAAGCTAAACAGTGACCTGTACAATCACTTTATTTCCTTCTTAAATTTTTGCAAAGAATTAAACTACACCCCCTGTTCTATTTTTATGATTCATTTTGCATCTCATTCTGCAGCCCACTGGCATCCCCCTTTAGGAGCTGGAAGATAACAGTCTACCAATTGCTACTGCCTAATGCACCTGCTTTTAGCCCCCAGGGCAGGGGTCTGGGTTGCGGTGCTGAAGGCCTTGGGTTCAAATTCTGTTGATGACTCACGGGAGATGTTGCTACAATTGCCGCAGTGTGCACGCGATGAAGAATGACTGTATGAAAAACTAACAACTCTAGTGCCAAGCAAAATTCTCACAGAAAACTCTCTCAGTTATGCTTCAGAAGCTCCCTGACAAGTTGACTTGAGGTTAGGGTGCTGACTTAGCTGTTTTCAATGTTTTACAAAACTACACTGCTCTTGTCATCTTTTTTTTCCACGTGAGCCTGCAGTATTGCTTTGTTAGCAATATGGAAAACTTTTGAGCTTCCTTTACTCTAAACCTCAGGCGTCACGTGTTTGTGCATCTTACCTAGTTTATGAGGGATGCTTTGGGTGAACTGTGCTGTCAATCACTGTAATGAAGAAAACATTGACTGCACTAAAAAACAAAACCACACACACACACACACAAATTGTCCCATTCCGCCTGCTGTGATTTATATAAAGGGGCACCTGTCTTGTTTCGAAGTGTTACAATATTGTGCCACTCCTGGAACGTGAGAGTGTGGTGGGTGGATATCAACGTGAAAAGATCAATGCTTCCTTTTAAACTGAAGCACCTGTATCACAACAACCCAGCCTCCATCTTCACACAAAAGTGCACATTCGTGCACCCAGCTTCTGTGGAATTTGGATATACCTGGCCGACGGTGGCAATAGCAGCACCAGGGATCTGTTTCCTGAAACCATTCCTATTCAGCAAGCCACTTTGTCAATAGGATTTCAGCACAGGCTTAAGGGCTTTAGTGAATGAAACTCAACCGCAGCCATCAGTGCTTGACCTTTCCGTTCCATTCACGGAGCTTCCTCAGACCCAGAAAGTTCTAGAAGGAGTTGGGTTCCCTCATGGTGGGAAAGGTGCTGCCATGCAGTGGAAGAGAAACCAGGTCCCAAGCTCCTCAGGTTGGAAGAGCTGGAGTAGCGGCACACATAGCTTCCGGTGGGATCGATGAGGGCAAAATACCTTAAGTCTCGAGTGACCACCTT